CTTGCCAAAAAAATAAAAAATAAAAACATTCTGAGGAATTTCATTTGTCATTAGCCGAAAAGTCACATACAGTACATTGGCGATTGCCTTGAAATTATAGAAAGGGAAATTAGCACTAATAACCAATAAAAAAATCTATATAATTCATTAACTAAGTAATTCTTTAAAATCTAATGGCTTAGATTTTGTCATATATACAATTTTTTTTAATTATTAAATTATAATTTTTTTTGTTGGTTATTCACCAAATTCATCCTTATAGAAAATCATCATACGGTCATATATACCCTATAACTATTGGTTGATAAATTATTTTGACTTTCTTCATTATTTCCTAACAGAAACAATGACATTTATAACAGTTAATTTCAACCAGTCTTGACATATTATAAGATCATGCCATTGGCTCGTACCTTATTTGATAAATTATTCTGATTAGAGTATACAGTTAAATCCAGCAAGTGTTGACATATATTAAAAACATATATAATATATAATAAGGCCACGTAAGTATTAGAAAACGGTGGGTGGGTATAGGCGAAACGAGTGATATAGGCATATAGCCCCTCCTCGTGGAAGTTTGACTCCTTTGCCAATTATTTGACTTTATCCTAAAAAATCATGTAACAGTGTATTCAACTCGCATTTGAAAGAATTTGGTTTAAAATATTAATTTATATGTTATTAAAGTATTCATTTTTTTTTTATTAAAATATTATTTAATTTTTTTTGTATTTACCCGCGTGTATTTATCCGCGTATTAACGCGGATCATATTTTAGTAAATTAAAAACTAATGTAAAGCGTAAATAAATTTAAAATTATGAACATATTTAATTAAAAGGTTAAACATCTAATTAGTGAAACTGGTCACATTTAATATCTCACATTTTATTAGGAGTTTCTTTGTGAAAAAAACCTCTTATAGATAAAAGACGAAGGTTAATGTGTACAAATATTTTTAACAAGATCATATCCATTTTGTTTAGCAAAAAAAAAATCATATCCATTTTGAGTCAGGCTCTAAAACATAAATAATGGCGACACCAACCCAAATTGTACATCGAACCAACGAATTAAAATTTGAAAATTCTACTCTTTTATAAGCATGNATGCACAATAATAATAAATAAAATAAATCAATTTCTTCACACAGCAACCCCTTAGTTTCTCTTATCATGATCAACTAATTCAGAGACTTAGGCCTCACTTCGAGACCATCAATCACAATGCCACCTTTCAACTGATAACCTTTAACTTCTGTGAGACTCATAGTGACCTCATCATCCTCTCCTTCTCGTGTCTCAAACTCTCCTAACTCAATCTCCATCCACCCGTCGTCTCTACCTTCCGGCTCCCTCCTTTTCCCGTCCCCACCGACCGCCGTTGCCATTTGCTCTTCTCGATTTCCGTAAAACAACCGCTTCATTTGTTGTTTCTTCTCATCCACGCAACATAGATAAGATGTGTTCTTGCTAATCTGACCATTCTTAGATTTGATCGAGGTCTCTGCCGGAACTAGGTCTAGTCCGTAGGCGTGTTTAGTCACTTTCACGATGAGATATGCTCCATATCTTGTGTCTGGTGATAAAATCCCGGTTTGGATTGTTCCCTTGATTTCTAACCGATCCGTTGTTATAAGCTCAGCCGACTCCGGAAATCTGAAATTATTTTAAATGAAACAGTTCAGATACAATAAATTCCGAAGTACGTCTAAACAAAATATAGATAGTTATCTTAAGAAGAACAAAATAGTAACCTAGAATCTGAGACATTGCTCCAAGACCAGTACGATGCTTGGTCGCTCCAAGTTATAGAAATATCTCTTGCTGATAAATTATACGAAATTTTTCCAGAGAATTTATTGATCTTGAACATCTGAAATTACATCATACCAAGAAAATATTATTAGTTCGAATAAATTAAAAAACAAAAAAAAACAAACTGCAAAGTAACTCATAAAGATCGAACCTTTCGGGCATTATCAATGAGAAGAAAGTCACAAAGACATCGATAAATCTCCTTTTTCGATGAAAAACTCCGATGATTATCAGTGGATCGAGAGATGAGGCTTCTGTAATCGGAAGGCAGAAACTTTTCCCATACGAAATCGGAGTCTCCGGCTAACCGGAAAACCGGAGAGACTGCCGATGACGAGAATATGTCCGCCGGAGATGTGAAGGAAATGATGTTGGCTACGCATGCTTCTGGTAACATCTTTTTTTCTTATCTGATTAATCTTTCTGATTATGGGATTTGCTTTGAGTTTTTTAACTGAGGTGATGTGTTTTAAGTTAAAGATAGAGATGGTGGGTATTTATAGTGTGTGCTTGGCATCATTTCGCTGACGATTTTGGACCGAACATAGAACTTCTTAATATTCTCGACTTAAATATTGTTTTGTTTGCAACTAAAGACTTAAAGATTGGGCCCCGCTTGGTAAAAAAAAAAGGTCAAAACTTAAAGTATTTGGTTGTTGGGCAAATAATAAAAAATGGTCTTCTAAAAAGAGAAAGTTTACGCGGAAGAAAAAATTGAATGAAAATGTACGTTCCTAATATCTTCCTAATATGATTTCTGTTAGGCCTCGGCGCAGATCGGATATCCGAAAAAAATATATTATTTGTAATTCGATTTGTTTTTGACGGATATCTAATTTTCCGATTTACTTTGTTTCGAAAAATTTCGGATATCCGGGATGACAGATATCCGGATTCTTTCTAGATATTTGCGGATATCTGGATATTCGCGGATATCTGTTTTAAACAAAAAAAAATTAAAACACTATAATATTTTTTTCAAAAAAAAAGTTTTAATAAGATTTAAACTAATTAACCAATAAATATATGAAATAGGTCTAATTTTATTAGATAGATTGTTC